CACTTGATATGATTTCATTTCTCCTAAATTTGTTCAGACTTGGCAACCTAATATATGATATATCCTGAAGCAAGATATGTGTGCACTTGAGAAGACATGTATTCCCTTGTTGTTGAAGGGACATATACATATGCTATATATGTCTTGTTAGGTCCATTTGGTCTAAAATGTAGTTCAAGTTCACTGTTTCCTTATTAACTTTCTATCTGGATGATCTGCCATTGCTGAAAGTGGGGTATTGAAGTCCCTTATTACTGCATTGTAAGTTATTTCTTTCTTTAGATCCTTTCATATTTGCTTTACATATTTAGGTGCTCTGATGTTGGGTACATATATATTTACAATTGTTATATCCTCCTGATGAATTGACACTTTTATTATAATGGCTTTCTTTACCTTTTTTTGTTGTTTTGAGCTAAAGTCTATTTTGTCTGATAAAGGTATAGCCAACCCTGCTCTCTCTCTCTTTCCATTTGCACGGAATATCTTTCTTCGTACTTTCTCTTTTATTCTGTATGTCCTTAGAAGTCAGTTGAGTCTCTTGTAGGCAGCATGTAGCTGGGTCTTATTTTTTTTAATACATTCAGCCATTTTGTCTTTTACTGGAGATTTCAGTTCTCTTAAAATCCAAGTAAATATTGATAGGTAAGGACTCGATACTACTAATTTGTAGTTTGTTCTCTGATTGTTTTGTGGATGCTTTGTTGCCTTGTTTCTCTCTTGATGTCCTCCCTTGTGGCCTGATTTTTTTTTTTAATGGTATGCTTTGAATTATTTCTATGTATGTTTTGTGCCTCTACTCTAGATTGTTGTTTTGTATTTACATGAGGCTTCCAAAAGCGATATACTAATATTAGGGTATTTCAAGCTGATAACAACTGAATTTTGATAACATACAACAGCTGTACATTTGTATTCCCCTTCTCTACACATTTTAATATTTTGATGTCAAAATATACATCATTTTGCAATTTGTATCCCTAATTTGGGCTATAGTTCTTTGTTTTTGTTTTTGTTTTTGTGAGACAGAGTCTCACTCCATCACTCAGGCTGGAGTACAGTGGTGTAGTCTTGGCTCACTGCAACCACCACCTCCCGGTTCAAGCAATTCTTGTGCCTCAGCTTCCTGAGTAGCTGGGACCACAGGTACACACCACCACACCTGGCTAATTTTTGTAGTTTTGGTAAAGACAGGGTTTTGCCATATTGGCCAGGCTGGTATGAAACTTCTTGTCCCAAGTTACCTGCCCACCTCAGCCTCCCAAAGCACTGGGATTATAGGCATGAGCCACCGTGCCCAGCCTTGAGCTATAATTTTAATAGCCTCATATTAGGCATAAAATTATTTTACAGACCACTATTACAGTTTAGGTTTTTCTGAGTGTGATTCTATATTATTTATAGCATTGGTTTTTGTGTTTTCATATATTTTATTAATTAGCAGCCTTTTATATCAGCTTAGAGAACTCCATTTAGCAATTTCAATAGGCTGGTTTAGTGCTGATGATCTCTGTTAGCTTTTGCTTAGGAAAGCTTTTGTTTCTTTCTCATTTCTGAAGTATAGCTTTTTTGGTTGGTAGTTATTTTCCTTTGGCACTTTAAATATATCATCTCATTTTATCCTGCCCTACAGGGTTTTTGCTGAGAATTCTCTAGTAGCCATATTGCAAGTTCTTTGTATGTGATAAGTTTCTTGTTTCTTGCTGCTCTCAGAATTTTTGTCTTTGATTTTTGATAGTTTATTATGTGTGTTGGTGAACTTCTCTTTGGACTGAATGTTTTGTACAAGTCTCCAGATGAAACTTGCTATTTAATTTTTCATTTTAGTTGTTGTCTTTTCCATCTCCAGGATCTCCATTTGTTTTTGTTATAGTTTCCGTGTCTCTGTCAAATTTCTCATTTTGTTCATATATTGTGTTTCAGATTTCATTTAACTTCTTTTACATATTCTTGTAGTTTGCTGAACTTCCTTAAGAGGATTGTTGTATATTTTTTGTCAGTCATTCCATAGATGTACATTTCTTTAGGGTTCATTATTATAGCTTTATTAGTTTGTTTTGGTGGTATCATGATTCCTCTAATTCTTTTTTTTTGAGACCAGAATCTCACTCTGTCATCAGGTTGGAGTTCAGTGGCATGATCTCACTGTAACTTCCACCTCCCAGGTTCAAGCAGTTTTTCTGCCTCAGCCTCCTGAGTAGCTGGATCTACAGGTGTGTACCACCATGTCCTGCTAATTTTTGTATTTTTAGTAGACACAGGGTTTCACCATGTTGGCCAGGCTGGTCTCCATCTCTTGACCTCATGATCCCACCTCAAACTCCCAAAGGACTGGGATTACAGATGTGAGCCACCACGCCCAGCCTCCATAATCTTCATGTCCTTGTATTGATGTCTGTGCATTTCAGGAGACAGCTACCTCTTCTGTCTTTTAGAGGTGTTCTTTAGTATAGATTGAACTTCATTATTTACTTTAGTCTGTGATCCTGGATGAGCCAGCTGATATCAATCTCAAGGAAGCAGAGCTTGCTGTCATTTTCTCTAGTTAGTTGGGTTTCTGCCTTTGCTCTGCATTTGGGTGGGGCTGCTCGCTGAGCTTCACCATCCAGCAAGACCACTGGCTGGGCTCTGAGTCAAGTGGAGCTGCTGGCTGGGAACTCTGATTGCCTCTGGCAGGGTCACAAAGCATATTTCTTTGCTGGGCAGTATTGCTATTTAGGTTATGCAGTTGAGCAGGTCTGCAGGCTAGACTCTAGGTTTAGATGGATCACTGTTCTAGACAGACAGGTCCAGAGGTTATGCTCCATAGAAATACATGCTGGTAGGAATCCCCTTGCCTGAGCTAGACTCTGGGGTGGGCTCTGATACTGGGTGGAGCCATTGTTTGGAGCTGCTCTTTGGACTTCAGGGTTTGGGCAAGTCTAGCCCCTGTTCTCTGCAAAAAATGCCCCGTGGTGAGCATCTCTTCTCCTGGGTAGGGCCTTGAGGTGGGCTGTGAGGCTGAGTATAGAGGCTGGCTTTCTAGGGACTCAAGCCAGGGTGAACTTCTCATTCAGCTTCTGGGAGCAGCCAACTCAGCTTTGAAGGTAAGCTAGATCATTAGCTGATCTCTCTGATCAGGTGCCACCGCTGGCAGGAACACAGAGCTACCATCCAGATCTGCACACTAGTCACTGCAAGCTTTACCTTCTTGATTTGTTTGACACCAGGGGATCTTGTTCTGTTACTCCAGTATTCCCTTTGAGGTAAGGCAGTAGTAGTGGGCTTCCTTCAAAGCACCTCACAATGCTAGGGAAGCTAGTATTCTGTCTACTTTCAGTTCTCTTTTCCTCTGTAGAAAATGTGGGCTTAGGAGAATGCCCCCTGTGGCTCTTTGCTGACTTGGAGGAGTGATATGGTCAAGGTGAAACCGTGTCTCGTACTCTTCTAATGCAGTTTTTATACGGTTCTTTGTTCCATTAGGTGTTTCAGTCTCAGTCTCAAGTTTTGGGGTCTTCATAAAGATGTTCTTTTCTGTCAATGATTGTTAGTTGGATTTTCTATGGGTGGGGAATGAAGCCTGGAAATTGCTGTTTTACCATCTTGCTGACCTCACCCTCTATACAGCTTTAAACTGTGCCTGACGCATTGTCGGTGCTATATTGTTAGCTCTTGCGACTGTTGACGATGAAAAAGATGTTCAAACTCGGAGCTTTTACTTAGATGGAAACAATGTCGTCCACAAATAGGACTGACCGAGATGCCTGCCATTTCCTCAGCTAAGTTTTCATATTTGTTTAGGTACTTGACTGATTGCCTAAAGCTCTTCAGCATTGAACACTGGGAAATTATTTGGGCCTTGCAGATTTTCAAGGCAGGTGTATCACATTTTCAGTGTGGCCATAAGACCTTAGTCATCATCTCATGGAACGTCTGGTTTGGAGCTTTATGGCTTTCTGGTGATAAACAATGACTGAAATGCTTCCCCAGAAACCAAAGAAAATAAATTACAACATAATGTTAGTTGATAGAGATAGATTTTTACTTGTAGAATAGCTAATATAAAGTCATCTTTCCTAATAATAATTCTGTATCTAATGAGAATCAGCTCTCTATTGAGAACATTCCTGACTCTTGACGACCTTATCATTAGTGTAGGGAAGAAGTTCACTTCTCTATTTTGTACAGGCCTTCATTCATAATTAGAGTAATTAAGGCATGGTGAAGAAAGAGCCCCAGACACAGCGCTGTTTTACATGGTTCAGAATCATTATCTGATCTGTCAAGAGATGTTGCTGCCATCTTACCACTTGAGATTCAGTGTCCACAGCTCAGGTTCTTCTAATCAGCTCTCATCCATAAGAGCTCAAAGCCAGTAACAATTCAAATAATTCTTGCCAGCCTTTTGCACAAGGTGATATATAATTGGTAGTGGAAAGTATTCACCTCCATGCTCCTTCTATAAAATGTGAACAATGAAACCCAGACATGTAATGTAGTATAAGGGAGCTAGCATAAATTTTTGACAGAATGTTCAGCAAAGTAAAAACTGTACATACAAAGCCATATTTGCCTTTTTGAAAAGTTGTGTAGAAAATGTTTGAGTATACTCACATTTGATTATGGCCCAAAGAAGGATTCTGTTTTAAATGAAAGCTAAAAGGATTGATCAAGATAAGAATCTGTTAGTAACAACTACTTGAAGGCTTTACTTTTGTTCTTTTTTTGCTTTTAGCCTAGTAATTAGATGAACTTTTGCTGAGCCCCCTGTATGTCAGACTTATAGACTAGTGAACTCGGGGTCAAATGGGAGCTGAAGGGTAGATCAGCCTGTGGGCATGTGGGCGTGTGGGGCCGGGGACATGTGTGCATCTCAAGGCTGAATAGGATGGTTAAGCAGTGGAGTGCTCCTTCAGTAGCCAGTCAAGGAAAAATGCTATTCTACAAGGATAATGACTGTCCACCAAATCACCTCTTTCAGCATCGAACAGTGTGAAATAACTTCCGTCTTTTTCATCTAGACCTCTGCTCTTCCAGACAAGTGAACATGTAGCCAATAGTCCTGCACTGGGGGATGTGATTCCATTCAGCATCATTATTCAGTTTTTGTTCACGAGAGCACCTGCTGAGCTGAAATCTCCTTTCCAGGTAATAAGTAAAGTCAAACCAGATCTCTTTTGTGACTCTTCCCATTACCTTTGTGAATCCAGAGCCCCCACTCACTGAATGCTTCCTGGCCCTCCACTGCTTTGTTTAGTCATTGATGTCTATCTTTGACAGTGAATAGATATTAGAAAAGAAAAAGTCCCACTGCCCAGTGTCTTCTTTCTTCACAGTGCAAAAAATTACCTGATGCATCCAGAATTTGCCTTTAATAATGACACAAGTAATTTATGTTCATAAAGAATTTTTGATGGCAACCCCATTTTTTTTTTTTTTTTACTGACCCACCATCACCTGGCAAATCTAGAAGGCTCCTTGTAGTCAGGAAGGTACACCGAGGCCTGTGCCCCCTTCCTACTTCCCTCAGGCAGGTGTTGGGGCAGTTTCACCTTAGGAATCCTCCAGAGTGCTTTTTGAACCAGAACTGGCTGCCATTTACTGAAGAATGCGTATGCCCTTTCTCCTCTCTAATTGTGTTTCAACCCTGCAGAGGGCAGAGTGGTCCCACGCACGCTTCTCTCAGTGGCTGGATGACCATCCATCTGAAAAGGACAGACTCCTCCTCATCAGGTAAAGCCAGATGCTCCAGGAGCACCCATCTGGGTTGGAAGCCCAAGGAGGGTGGGGATGCAGGAGAGGATGAAGGAGCAAGTGCCTGGGAGCATGGACATGTGACTGCACCTTCTGGTGGCAGGCCACCTCACTGCCCAGACACAGGTGCTGGAACAGCCAGCAGTTGGAAATGTTGGAAACAACATCTTTCCCTTTCCGTCTTTCACTTCTAAACCTTCATATCCCGGATGTGCAATCCTGTGTCCCATGCAACCTTAAAGACCATGCATTTCTACCTTTGAAAATCATCATCTGCTTGAAAAGTCTTGCCCTAATTCTGCATCTTTTACTTCATTTTTCATGTGCTGCAGTTACTGAATTGGTGGAACACAGATGTGAGTGAATTTTAAAAATACTCAAGTGCTAAACAGTTCTTAGTAGGAAACGAGAACAACCCAGCAGCCACTTGGATGCCATGGCCCTCCAGTAGTGCCCCATGAATGCATTTACATACATATGCATGTGTCCTCGCACACACGTGCACATGCCCCCTTGTAACCCAACCATGCCCTGGGTGGGGTGCTCTAACTGTCATATATGACTTGTTAAGCAACACTCTTCCCTGTGATTGCTCTTATCAGCACCAGAGGCCTTCCGGCCACCAAACATTCCATTGTTACCGCTCTGTAGCTTTAGCTAGACTTGGCTACCATCTCCTCCTTTAAACTCATAAACTGGGACTCAGCACATTTTTATTGATGCTAAGCTCACATTTGATTGTCATGGTAAGCCCTGGGCCAGTAACTGAGGATACACAGTAAGCTGAGGTATGGCCCTGTCCTCTCAGAGCTTGTGTTACACCACAGCCATCTGTTTCAGATCTAATATCTGGTTTTTTTTCTATTTCATTTGCTGAATTATTTCCTTCTAGCCATTCCTTAAATGCTATCATTTCCCATATTTTGTTCTTCTCATCCTGCCTCTGCCTTAATCCCCAGGTGAGCTTGTCCAGACCTGTGCCTTTAGTGCTCCTTGTATACTGAAGAGCCCCCAGGTCTGTGACTGCCTATTGCATGGGGCCTTGGCCCAGTAAACTTGCTATCATATGTCCCCACCCACAGAAATCCCAACCCCAAAATGGTCAAAATAATCTTTTCTCTTAAACCTTCTCATTCTCTTATCCCTGTCTTGGTTGGGAGGTCAAAGTCACCTACCTAGCCAAGCTAGAAAACCTTTATATATATCGTCATTCAGCTCCTCTGTTACCCTTATTCCTCGAACCCACTCCATTGTACCTCTCTAAAATAGCTTTTGAAGTCATTCTTAACTCTCCCAGGGGATCCCAATTCTGTTGTCTGGGCCCACTGCACCCGGTGATCCTTTGTTGCCTCAGTGCCAGGTGATAAGTTGGGTTCCCTAAAGCTAGAGTGGGACTGACATGATGAGGTGGTTCCAAACCATGTGTGTTCACAGAGTCATTTATACAGCTTGGAAAATTCCTAGTGCCCAAGCCTCTCACCCTTGCCTACCTCAGAATCTCTGGGGTAGGCCTGGTATCAGGATTTGGTTATAGCTCCCCAACAAGGTCCAGGGTGTAGCCAGGGGCATGCACCCCTGCCATAGTGGGTCATATTCCATTTCAGATGAAAAACTGCTGAGGAAGCTACGAGAGGTCACCAGGAAATACCAGCCTGTCAGCTTTGTTTCCGGAAGTGACCCTGAGCCCTCAAGCTTGGTGCCCAGATCCTGCATGAGCCATTGGCCCTCTGGGCATATGTGTAGATAAAGATTAGCTCGGACTGTGCTCTTTTTCCTTGCTTATCTGTTACTCAGCTGTGAGCCTCTGACACAGAAATGGGAGAGGTTGCCAGCCCCGTGAATGTTCCTGGTAAAATCTGCCCTCTGGCAAGGCTTTGGATTTGGGTGAGGAGTTTGGGCCTGGGGCTAACCCAGGGATTTGCAATGTCTGTGTGGATTATTTTTCCTGAGTCCCAAAGATTCACTCAGCTGCAACACACTTGGTAATATAAAAAGAGGATTCAGTTAATTGAACAGGGTTCATTTTGTCATCTTAACAAGTTGGTCATTTTTGTCATCTTAACAAGTGGGAATGAGTTCATCCAAAACAGTTGTCCTGCTGTGGGTACATCACAAATCTGTTTTCTTTTGCTTCTCTTTAAAAGTGTCTTCTGAGTGACTTCATCAGCAGTGCAGTTGCTAAGCCTATATTTAGCAACTGAAAATCATGCTCAGAAATACTGTCATGCTTTTTAAAAAAGGCATACCCATCTCTCCACACAAGGCTGATTCCAGAACCTTCACGCCCTTAGCAAAAAATTGAGTTCTCCTTCGGGGATTAAAAAAAACACTGTACTGCTGCATCCCAGGCCCTTGGCAAGCAGGGGACCTTTGCCCTAGAGAATGTTCTTTCTTATGTATTGCAAAATTGCAAAGCAATTTTGTTCCTGCATACCGAAGCATCACTGGATGAACTTCTTTCCCCTGTAGACAAACTGAGGGTGAGTATTGCTCTTTAAATGTCAGTACATTTGTTTTAGCTTCTGGGGCAAACCTTGTTGTATACTTATCCTGTTCCTCCCAGTGTAATATGTTAGGTTGTCATAAAATAGGGCAAATTGAGGATAGTGTAACTACTGCTGCTGAATAAATGACAAATAGTCAACTCTCTTGCCTTCCTTTTTTCTTCTAACACCAGATGCTTTCTGAAGCTTGAAATGAATACTAGTCAAGTTCATTTGAAAATCAGAGTAATGACTTACTCATGGGGCCAAGTGGTGTAAGTGAGGGCAATTGTATGTACTCAACCCGTACCAGGCAAGTGCTCCAGACACGTGTGCCCCCTCAGATGCAGAGGCAGCGGCCTGGTTCATGCCTGCGTGTCTGTAAGTGTTGAATATGTATTCAATAGAGTTTCTTATTAAAAGATTTCTCAAGCTCTGTAACAGCAGTGGAATTGGCCCCAAATCCATTTACTCTGGCTATTTGCTGTGGAGCAACATCTATTCTTATGGTCCTCTCTGAGTAGGTGTACATTTTAATGATGTCAAATTGTTCACAAACTTATTAGCCTAGTGGAGCTTTTAGCTACACCATCAGAGAATGTTTGGTGCCATATGCGTCCTTGGATCCCTTCCCCTTTCACCATAGTCCAGGGCCCACAAGCTGGACGCCATTCCCTCAGCTCCTCTGTATTTCTGCAGAACTCCCAGATCTCCACTGATGGCGGGTAATGTTTTTCCTCCTGGTACCCCTTTGTCACTAGCTACCTATCAGTTCTGGGAACGGAGTGCCTGAGATAGGACAGAGAGGGATGATGGAACCAGGGAAAAGCCTGGGGTTAACTGCTTATTGAGGTGAGGCATATAGTGTATCTTTAAGTCATTTTCAGTACTTAAAAAATCAGTGTTGTTTTCTATGAAAACCTCCACTTGGCTAGTTTTTGTCACCTTGAGGAGTGTTGCCAAGTTACTACAAACCATTCCTCTACTAATCATGTTTTGTTTTTTTCCCAATAAGGATAACCAAAATAATCTACTTCTTTTGGTTTCAAACCAGAGTTAAGACTTACATAATGCTTGGCCCGTCTTCCAAGAAAGCTAATGTTTTGCTTAAGCAAATGAAGTAATTTAATAAGTACTCGAAAATCTTGCTCTGATTTCATGTAGGAGGGCAGTGTAATCTTTTTTTCCCCATACTTCTGATGGTGTTTTTGATGACTACTCAAAAATCTAACCAAACCCATTTCTGATATATCTTCTACATACTGTGTAACTTACGTGATGTCTTGTCTTTAAATGACAATGAAAGTGAGTTGATTTTTGTCCATTAGAACCTCTAATCCATTCGCTGTGAAATGATTATAGTTCCTGTCAATTTAAACACTTCTTAGACACTGATACATACACCTCACTGTCTTAAAGAGAGAGGAGCCCTTGGGGATTTCTCTACTGTATATGAATTATATGAAATCTGTAAGGACCACATTTGGGGAGTGGAGACAGCTTCCCAGAATGGCACACCAACTAGAAGCATATTACTGAAAGAAGCAAGTTTTTTCATAGACAAGATCTCCATTAAGGGTCAGCTCTGACTCGACCTAAGGCATCTCATAAAACACTGTTCTCTAAGAGCACTAAATCCCACCTTGCATGCCAATTAAGAGTGATGTGTTAGCTGGAACCTGAAACTGAGTATGTGAGCTGAGTAATGGTATTAACTTACATCTTTTTACAAATGCTTCAGTCTCAAACTGAAATTCTGAAGAAAAATATGACAAAAATTTGTGCACTTGGTACTTAAATAGACCAATAATTAAAAATTAGCAATCTCATATCCATTCTTTTTAGCTCCACTTAAACAGATGATCGGGTTCAGGGACTGACATACTTTTTCTGTAAGAGGAGGACCAGATATATTTTATAATTTGCAGGCCATATAATCTCTGCCTCAACTGTTCAACTCTGCCGTTGTGTGAAAGCAGCCACAGCCAATACACAAATGAACAAGCATCAGGCTAGACTCAGCCTGCAGGCAGTTTGCTAATCCCCAACCTAATCCATGAGAACAATCATAATCATAAATAATGGCATGGTACTACATACCCTTAATTCATACTACCTGTTCATACATTTTGCCAGTAATTATAGCCCAAGAGCACTTATTCTAGTTGTTGGGTGTTCACAGTTCAGTAAAACAACAGGAACACGGCCGGGTGCGGTGGCTCACGCCTGTAATCCCAGCACTTTGGGAGGCCGGGGCCGGTGGATCACGACGTGGTCCAGAGATCGAGACCATCCTGGTCAACATGGTGAAACCCCGTCTCTACTAAAAACACAAAAAAATTAGCTGGGCACGGTGGCACGTGCCTGTAATCCCAGCTACTCAGGAGGCTGAGGCAGGAGAATTGCCTGAACCAAGGAGGCAGAGGTTGCGGGGAGCCGAGATCACACCATTGCACTCCAGCCTGGGTAACAAGAGCGAAACTCCGTCTCAAAAAAAAATGGAACATAATACACCTACTGATATTACCAAGTGTGCCAAAGGAACCCATCCCCCTGTACTGAGCGTGCCTTTCAGAGGTGCAGGATGCCCCTTGTGAGCTCTGGGAGTAGGCACAAGTGCCCATTCCGTTTGAGGTGTCTTCAGTAGGGAAACGGGGAAAACGGAATGAAAACATACTTACACGGCCAGGGGGCTCTGAGTACATAACTAGACGTAACAGTAACCAGTAAATGAGTGAAGGCTGTTGGTCACTTCGCTTGTCAAACTGAGCATAACAGTTCCAGAAATTAGCTTATTTCTAATTTTTATATATTGGTATCCCCTAATCTGTTTGTTTGTGATTTATGTAATATTTTGACATTGTTTTCATTTTGGTTTTCAGGGGAGCCCTGGAAGCTTACGTTCAATCAGTGAGAAGTAGAGAAGGAAAAGAATTTGCACCCGTTTATCCCATAATGGTTCAGCTGCTTCAAAAAGCTATGTCTGCTCTTCAGTAACAGTATGAAATCTTTGTTCATCTCCACTTTCTGCTAACCCATTCACAGTTGGCGGTTAACACATACTCCAAAATACAGCTACTGTCTACTGTTTTAAGAATGTAATTGATTGTTCTGCATTTCCTATTGATCTTTATTTACCTCCTTATCACTTTAGTATAAAATTGTCAAGTCATCATCACATCCTCTTAATTTCATGGGCTTGATTTTTCCAGAAAGTTTTCCGCTTTCAGATTTTTGTACAAGGCTAAAATTTCTTTCCCATCCATAACTGAGTCCTCCTATGTGTACATATACCCAAAGTCCCCACTTCTTTTAAAAGGATATGATCAAGTTATATACCCTGCTTCCCCCAGCCCTGCCTTCTTCACTAAATAAGCACGTTAGCTCAGTGGTTTCCAAACTTGGCTGCATGTTCACATTCACCAGGGGAGTTTTTAAAAATCTTGATGCTCAACTTGCACTCCATATTAATTAACATGTCTAGGAGTGGGAGCCTAACACCAGTAATAAAAAAAAAAGATCCCCAAAGTGATGCCAATAGACAACAAAGCTTAGGAACCACTGGCACATCTCAAAGCTAAGATACAGGGTTAATCAGCCTTGAGATGTCATACTGGATCTTTAAATAAAGCAAGGCTTTCGTTATACTGTCATGGTATTAAAAGCAGACCTTTGGGGCTGTCTAACCTTGTAACAAAGATGCCACGTGAAAAATAAACATTTTTATTCTATAGCGAAATAGTAGGTAATCTAAGGCCTTATTTTCTGATTGACTGCTCTTGTTCCATTATTAACAGTTTTAATTTTTAAAATATCATGACTCTTATTAGCAGTGTTAGGAATCCGCCTTGTTTTCCATCTCTTGAACCTGTTATTCTGAGAACTCATAAAATTCAGCCAATTAATCAGCAGACGTCAGAGATAAGCAATTTTTTTTTCAATTTATTTGAAATAATATACAAGAATATAGTGTGCAAAATTTAGGGGCAACATCATGAAGTGTAATGAACTGAAATCAATTTTACAGCTGTGATTCCTAACCAGAAACACCACTTGGTAAGTAATATGAAAAGCCATGATTGTAGCTCAGAGCAAAAGCAGCTGTATTGCCAATGTATTTGCTCTAATTTTAGACAGTTGGAGGAAAATTAAAGTGCAAGTGTTGCACTGCAATAAGTGCAAAGTCTGCCCCCACCATAAAGATTATGATGACAAAATATATTTAAGATACATGGCTGAGGAGATATAGAACACAGAGTTAAAAATACAATGGTGTTGACTGTTAATAGCACCATTACAGTGACTATATCCCAATGCTATTAACTAACTTTACCTTGGCCTGGGCTAGGTCTCAGTGGGAAATAATGGATGGCTGCTGCCACCTGGTGCATCAACTCGGCATGCCATGGTAACTGCAGCAAGTGGCTCTTAGGCTAGGGCACCAACCCCAGCCACCTGCCACATGTTCTGGGTAGCCTCTTGGCACGGACCAGACTAGGAGCGCCTACGTTTGGCACAGATGCTGAGCCATGTGGTGGTTACTTGAGGAAAGGCCGACTCCCAGCTTCTGCTTCATTCCATCATGTGTACAATACAGATTAATAAGCAGTAAGGAGCCAATGTATAAACAGCAGTTACATATTTTTTTAAATTCCCCTTTCGTACAATTATTTAAAATAAAACAGGTATACACTTCTCCTCTTTCTACTGTACTTTAGCACCACAGGATATCAATTTTCAAGCCTATATTACCTGATAGACATATATGAAATTTGGAAGAAGAATAAGGCAATTTGGTTTACAATGTTGATAGTTTTAACTTACTTAATGCTCTAATGGAGAAAGCAAATCCTCACTCATATTATTAAATCATTTCTAGACTCAATGCTATCAGTAACTTATGGTCACACAAAATCTGGACAAATGGTGAGACCTTGATCTTCTTACATCTTTCCATCAAGAGTCAACGTATATGCAAATATAGACTTAACAACATAAGCATCCTGGTTTAATGTTGCTGTGAGCCCTGTGGAAATAAAATTAAACTCAGTGAATGTTTACAAATAGAGTAATCCTACATGTGAAAGCTAAGATGATGTATAAGATGTTTAATAAATTTACTATTAGAAAATACTGCTTCCTTAAAGGTGATTTTAAAAAGCTAGCTGATACCTGATGGCTCAAGTATCCAGAAAACATATGCAGTGATAAGACATTGACTAGGATGAGCAGAAAAAGGGATACAGGCAAAGCCCTACCACATAAAAGTCTAAATTAATCAGGAACTTCAAAAACTCAGTTCAGCCTCCCTCTCATCTGACTACTGATCTCTATTTTTAAAGAAATTCTTAAAACATTTAAACAGATATGACCCACATGTTACTAAGAAACAGGCACATGTACACAGAGTGAATTTAAAATATCTGTGGCTAGCCTCCTACTATATAAACTACTGATATCTTCCCTTCATTTTTAAATGATACCTCAAATTGACCCCATTCTGTCACATGCAGTTTTCTTGCAATTAATCTGAGAATGCTGAAACTGAAAGATGCTAGTTTAGTAATGGAAAAGTACTAAGAAGTAAGTCTATCCGAGATAGCTTATCATACAGACTTGTTTGCCACCCTTCCTGGGCCTATTTCTTCTCCTTGAAATTTTTCAATCTAGAAATTGTGTGGCAATGGCAGAAGTCCCCATGAAGGGCAGCTAACATACCCTCAAACACTTCCATCCTTATTGGTTCGAGACATAACAAAAATTAGATAAATTTTCTACTGTGATATTAAAGGATGAATCATGCTTATTTTTCAACCCAATGTGAAATACTGCATTCTAAAATTATTTTTGCAACTCAATGTTCAGAACAAATATTCTTCGTTTGCCTAAGATTTCAACTTGCCATGCTAAGACAGTAAACGACACTTGAGGAAAGGCAGTCTTTATATGATGATGCAAAAACGTTATTAGGCTTTGAAGTATCAAAATGCTAGAAATAGCATCAACACAACCTCTTAAAGGTTGAAACACCTGCTCCAACATGCCAGGTGTTACACCTACAGGGATAAGGCAAGATAATTTTAAGCAAACACTATTTATTGAAACATACTGAATTGGTTCTTTTCCTTTTCCAACAGTCAGGATTTAAACGTTTCTGTTCTTCAGCCAAAGCCTTTGCTTCTAATGTGTACATCCTTCTCTCTTCATTCTTCATTTTCTTCCACCTGTCACCAAGGATCACACTTATGGCTCTGTAAAATAAATATTTCACAATGCTGAAGGCACACATTTTTCATAAATCTCATGTCAAGTGCTGCTACATCAGGAGAAAAATGTGAAGTTAAAAAAAGAAGATGAAAATCTTATCTATCATAGAGATGGGAAAAAGTCAAGGCCATAATACTCATTTCCAGTAAAATCCCAAGTAATATAGTCCACATTGTTCCATATCAGCAGCATAAAGTATTCAACGTGTGCTAAAAGCTAATTTTACTATTTGTGCCCGTAACCTATTAAATAGTTTTGATAAAGGCCTTTTTTCACTCACACAACCACAGTCAAAGTGTGGAATTAACTATGCATGCCTTACTGTTTCTCTCTTAAGAGAAAACCAAGTAAATAAAACTTTAGACAATATTATTACTTTATCTCAAAATGGTAACAAACTGATAAAATACATCATGACAAAAATTAGAAGTTATTTTCCTATTCATATTCGTTACTCTACTATGAAACATACTAAAACAGTCTCACCCAGGGCACAGATGTAAACCACCTTCCTTCCATGAAGAGCTTTTAACCATTCACTTCATGACACCCATATAAGACCTAGGTCATAGAAATTTTGCACAAAGCGCATCAAGTGGTTTTATACTAACATGGAAGCCAAAGTGACAGGCATCTGCGCCTTCGACAGTAACCACAGAAGCTCTCCTGCAAGTCTATATTTGTCTTTTTATCCAGTTAGTTAATGCAGTTAAACACTATGCTGCATTTTCCTTTATTATAGACCAATTTTTGGGCTGGACATTGTGACTCATGCCTGTAATCCCAACACTTCAGGAGGCCAAGGCAGGCAGATCACTTGAGGCCACGAGTTCAAGACCAGCCTAGCCAATGTGGTGAAACCCCGTCTCTACTATTAGCCAGATGTGGTGGCACACGCCTGTAATCACAGCTACTGGGGAGGCTGAAGCACCAGAATCGCTGGAACCCGGGAGGCAGAGGTTGCAGTGAGCCGAGATTTCACAACTGCACTCCAGCCTGGGCAACTGAGACACTGTCTCAAAAATAAGAAAATAAAAACCAATTTTTATATTCCATTTGCAGAACACATTTAAAAAAGTATTTTACAGTCTTTGGGTTAAAGGTACTGTATAATGGTTGACACACTGTAACAAATCAGTAACTATTCCCACCATCTCAGTCATTCGTGGTAACAAAGAATATGAGATATTTTTGAAGGGATGGCACTTGGGAAACAGATTTGTTAAAAGATAATAGGTAATGAAATGTACACAATGCTATAGACTATATTCATTAACAACTGCAAAAATACACATCTAAAGATTATTTCTGCAGTGAATTTACATCCAAGACTTGAAAGAAGACAGCTTTATTAATATATGGAGAACTTTTGACTGGTTTGCAAGGGATTCAGTAGCAGAGGACTATGAGATGATTAAGGGTACAGGTAACGGAGTAGGAAGGACTTGATATGATTTTTATTCCCAGCTCTTAAGTTCAGCCTTTTGACAACTCTGGCAACTTGCTACAAACTGCAAGTTCCCTGCACAATCCATAGTTGACTCAGTGTAAAGCTGTTCCATAAAGACAGAACTGTCAATTATTAGAACTGTGTCCTCTAACAAGTAAATAACATTATTTTAAAAGGTAGCTCTTGCACTTTCGGAGGCAGGCAGATGACGTGAACCCAGGAGTTCGAGACCAGCCTGGGCAACATGGCACAACCCCATCTCTACAAAAAATACAAAAATTAGCCAGGTGTAGTGATGTATGCCTGTAATCCCAGCCCCTCAGAGCTGAGGTGGGAGGATTAACAGCCCAGGAGACAGAGGCTACAGTGACCTCTGCCACTGTACTCCAGCCTGGGCTACAGCACAAACAAAAAAAAAAGGTAGATCCTTACTACTAACGTAGGTAACCTAATTGTCTAGGTATTATAAAATAACTATATATAACCCTACAAATTCCACTTCAAGTTTTTAAAGTCAACCTGGCTGGGCACAGTGGCTCATGCCCATTATCTCAGCACTTCAGGAGGCAGAGGAGGGCAGATCACCTGAGGTCAGGAGTTCAAGACCAGCCTGGCCAACATGGCGAAACCCTGTCCCTACTAAAAATACAAAAAAATGAGCCAGGTGTGGTGGTAGGCACCTGTAGTCCAAGCTACTTGGGAGGCTAAGGCGGGAGAATCACTCGAACCTGGAAGGCAGAGGTTGCAGTAAGCTGAGATCACACCACTGGACTCCAGCCTGGGTGACAGAGTGAGACTCCATCTCAAAAAAAAAGTAGGTAAGTCAACCTAACAAAGAGTTAAGTAAAAACTATTCAAGAATAAACTATTCCACATATACTATGAATTGCATTGAAGTATTACTCATTTATTATAACCAGAATTATCACTATTTTTACCTGTTATCTTTCCCTGGATACATCTGAGTATATTCAACTCTGTATTTTTTGGCAAAAAGCATGAAGGCATTCATTGGTCTTTTGCACTTATTAGGAGAAGTGGCACTCACAGTCCCTGAGCTGTGGTTTTTGACAGCTTTAGCATACAAAGAATTGGAAGAGAGCTGTGATGATCCAGGTGAGCCACAGTTTTTACTGAATCCAGATCTTGCAAAGTCTTGACCACCAGGTCCTCCACAAGACAAAGATGCACGACGCTGACGAGCCATACTACTTAACACATAAACTGCCGAAGAATCCATAGGTGTGAAGTCATAGCTATAAAATTTTTAAAAAAAAATTAACAAGATTTTAATTCCATTTAGAATTCTCTGATTTCTAAAAGCAGGATTGTTTTAAAAAAAAATCTTTTAACATCTGATTGGAAATTTCAATGCATTTTCCCCAGTATCAAGTTACCATCGCTAACAACTTTTGCCACTGACAGTTGCTTATAAAATAAAATCTGTGTGCTAAAATTAATTTTAAAAAACCTTTGCAGAATACAAAAGCTTAAAAAAGACTTTGAACCCCCAAAGGAATGTGATAATCAGCACACTTTATTCATAGCAAGTAACTCCTCCAAATACTATACAGCTTACTTATTCTTACTTTAAATTCATTTCTGGACAAATCTGACAATATAATTTCTTGGCCTACAGGCACCCAGACCTAGAAAATTAAAACAGAGTGACAGGCAACATACCAGGCCTAAGGACTAAATACTACAGAAAACAAAAGGTTGAGAAAGGGCAGTCAAAAGCTGTTAAATCCGGCTAAAGGAACATATGGCCAGGCGTGGTGGCTCACGCCTATAATCCCAACAGTTTGGGTGGCAGAGGGCAGGTGGATCACCTGAGATCAGGAGTTTAAGACCAGCCTGCGCAACACAGTAAAACCCCATCTCTACTAAAAATATAAAAATCAGCTGGGCACGGTGGCTGGCTGAGGCAGGAGAACTGTTTGAACCCAGGAGACAGATCGCACAACTGCACTCCAGCTTGGGTGACAGAGTGAGACTGCGTCTCAAAAAAAAAAAAAAAAATCAGTAAAATGAAGGAACTTAAAATGTCCAGTAATCTGCGTCATTTGTTTAGCTAAACAGAGCCATACATTCATCAGTCTTCTGAAAGGCCATCCATGAACTGTAACAGACTAATAACAGAGTTCGTTGTAAAAAACTGTTTGTCCGGAAAGGCCACATTTTGTTCTGTATATTCAGTTTACATAGACGTGGAAATAAGCTATCCATACTATCTTCTCAGCTCCTCAACAAGCCTGCTTCAAGAGCGTCATTCTCCCCTCTTTCATATGAAGAAAGAAGCTAAGACAGGTAAGGTATTATTCACCCAGGGCCACATGCTAGGATCCAAACCCAAATCTGTCCACCTTCAAAGCCCCAGGTTTCCTCACCAATAAATACTATGGCACCTCACTAA